TCCAACATCTTTCATGTTTATGATTTAAAACATATCTCTGTGTGGGTTTTACTAAAAAATCGTCAAGTAAAGACACAAAAAAATATAAATTCTTAGTTTTCAAAGACACTCAAGCCATGGACGTTACCAAACTTTGGCGGTCATTTTCTCGCTAATTCTACCCCTGATATAAGGCAGCTCGTACCTCCTTCACTGGCAATATCTCGACTTCTATTAAAGTTAAAGACAGATGGGTATCTTTCTCTTCGAAAGCAAGACAAATGGACAAACTTTAAGGTGATACCAATAAATCCACGTGCCTAGAAATTGACGACGAGCGCTTGATTCCGCCGTGTCGTGAGACAATCGAACAATAGCCAAGACTTTCTTAGATCTAAGAAAGCCTTGGCGTGCTCTTATTTCCTATCGGAGATCGACGTTAAATGTGGAGGTCCGACCTCTTTGTTAACTGTTCAGTGTTGAAAGTGGCGTTAAATCGGAAAACCATCAGAGCCGCGCACTATCAGAGCCGCGCACTTTTTAACGATATCGATACAATTAGATAGCAGATTTCATCCAACAGTTACAGTCCCCGTGACAAAATTACTCTGTACAGCCCCCATCCAAATATATTATTCATCTAAAAACACAGACCAAACAGAAATGCACTACTAAGAAAGGAGGGAGAATGTGTAACAAGCATGTAGGCAGACGGACAAGTCTCACAACTTCAATTTGTATCCTGAATGAGGAAGAAAATGCTGCCCCAATACTTTAAAGATCGCCTTTGTCCTGTACATATGTTTTTATACCTGAAAAGCTTTTTCATTCTAGGAAAAATCTAATTGATATCTGGTCCCAAGCCCAGTAAAACGCTGAGGGTGCTTCATAATTAATTGTTGGATGATATATACTATTAAAAATGTTTGTAATCGGCAATCCAATTGTATAGATATCCCAAGAAAGTGCGCTGCTCTGATAGTGCGCGGCTTTGATAGTTTTTTTTTCTCTCGGAAATGCGCGGCTCTGATGTTCTCCCATTAAATCCCTACAAGGACAATGTGGGCCGGTCTGTTTTATGGTCACCTGAGGACCCCAGCCTTTTTCGCTGCCATCTTCCTTCCTCAATATACAAGACACAGGTCTTTCTTGTTTTATACTTTTATGAAAGCCTTTTTTATACTTTTATGAAACCTTTTTTGTTTTATACTTTTATGAATGTCTTTTTTTTTTTTTACTTTTAATTTATGAAAGCCTTTTTTAAAATACTTTTATAAAAGCCTTTTTTGCACCCCCTTCGACACATTTTTTTCCCGGTCCTGATTTTGGTGCCGATATATTATATAGGTTGCGTAAAAATAAAAAAATGTGTTGAAATGTGTTGAAATGTGTTGAAATGGTGCAAATTGGTATGTTTGAAGAAAAAAAAACAGAACAAGAAAACTGGAATTGTTTAGTCGGCGATGATGGTGATGATGATGATGATGATGATGATGATGATGATGATGATGATGATGATGATG